CTATTCGTGGTCGAGGGATGATTGGGTTCTGCGTCCTAACCAACAGTCAAAGTAACGCTTTTGGTAGAATATGTTTCAGCGTCATCCTAGAATACTATAACTTGGGTAGAATTTAGTACGGTTATGACGAAATACTACTGAATACAACAAGTACTGAAGTCGCCTCAACTGTTATAGGTGGTTGATATGTTTTTTGTCATGCGACCAACAGTGTGATGGTAAGTGCTGCAACACTGTGATCTGCTTCCAGACTGTTTTATAACTATTGGAGTTTATCGCTCATTTGATGGAGAAAATGGAGGCATTTTTACGATTCGTTTTTATGACAGTGATCAAAGAAGTGTCGATGTTTGGATCTGCTAGTCGCTTATCAAGCTATCTCTTCTGATTTTCAGGGCATAAATCAGGGTCTAGCAAGTCTCATAAAGCAGCACTCCCAATTGTCGATTCCAGACAAGGAGTTGCGTGAAGACCTCCGCGAATGCCTCTCGAGGGAGTTGGTTAAACTCTATCAGGCTTTCTATGATCGCTCTCTCCAGACCCCATTTACCTCACGAAGAGAGAAGTATATCAAATTGAGCCCCTCAGAATTTCAAGCAAAGCTGGACCAGATGTTTCTACCCCCAGCTGCCCAGATTGTCCAGTCTCGATCTTGATTTAGCCTCGACGATTGTCCTCCTTGTGATCATCACTCCATACATGAACTGTGACTATTTGCCCCTCAATACTAATCACTCGTTTTGACTTCATTTTGTCACTTTTGCTCTATTATTCGCTACCAGTTGTGTGTTTGTGTGCAAATTAGGCTCATAATTTTAGATCTGCATTCATTCATGAGACTTCTAATTCATTTGACTCGGTTAATTACAAATTTGGTAGCAGAAATCTACTAAAATTGTTTTTATTCACCCATCTCTAAATACATCTTTTTTTCTCGGTAATTGACATCCATGGCATTAAGTATGAAATTAAGTTCTGTGGTGGTTCCTTGGTTTCTCAATCAAAAAGGTTGAAGATTAAATTGACCTCATCTCTTGCTGACACCCACAATGCAAAAGTATAAAAGCAATTAGAGGATAGCGCTGTCGACACCCATTGCATTTGAAGCGTAGGGATATCCTTTCAACATGGGATTTTACTTGTCTTGAGGCACAAAAAGAAGTTTTACAGAACGCAAAAATTCAAACAGTTACTTAGAATCCCTTCATTAGTAATCAGCTGGCATTAACCAGCTCCCAGTGATGCTCCTCTTGGACTGCAAGCGGAGTCATGTTATTTCGCTATTAAACTTACGTGAATGAAGTTTCCCTCCACCTGCACCTTTCATTATTTATTTTTCCTCACGTCGGGATACTTAATGGAGTCAAACTGTTAGCAGAATTTGGAGGCAATAATTTCAGAAACTGGAGGCAT